AAATAGGTTCTTGCGGAGACTCTGCAGCATATAATTAGGTGGAATTCTGAGTCCCATCAAGAACCTTCTGAGGTGGGACACTGCCACTAGAAAGGACAAGCAGACCACCCTGGAACAGCTAGCGTGACAGAAAATACATCTTCAAAGAAAGATCAGCAGGAAAAATCCAAAACAGAAATGGCAGTATAATTGGATACCATAAGCAAGTTGTTCACCGGGGAGCCATCACGGCAAGCAATCAAGTTCCTTCAGGACAAAACCTCCCTCTAAGGCTGAAACTCAAAGGGAACACATGAGCAGGCATATAAGCTTGCTTATCTCCATGTTGGTTTATTGGTGGGTGGAAGAAGGGGAAAGGCAGCAGTGAAGAAATGGGCTGAGTTCAACCACATTCCATAGACTCCCACTGACCTGGAGATGAGAGAGAGAGAAGAGGAAGGGCTGGTAGGTCCAAAGTATGGTGAGATCTGAGGACTCCTGAGCCTATGAACAAGGACATAGCCATGGAGGGCTAGAGCTGAAAGTGAAGCATCCAGCTGATATGAAGTGAGGGGAGATGAGCAAGAACACTCAGACTTGCATACAGTACCCATTTGACCTAGCCTAGATAGCTTGATAATCAGAACTCGACTAGAAGATTAAAAAAAAAAACAACAACAATTTTTGATAAAGGAAACAACTGCTACAATTTGATGAACTGACCTATACTCATGGAGGTAGTAGCTCAAAATACCAATTAAGAGGGCAGGATCTTCGTATTAAGTATCAATCCTATCTATCCCTTCTGCACAGAGGGTAGATAGGGACGGACAACTTACGCACTGGCTACCTAAAGCCAGGGGCAATAAAGACACGAAGTGACTGGCTTACATGTTTTCAAGAGGGAGTTTAGTGTAAGAGTGTGTGGGGAAAGTAGAGTCCCCACTGAAGAGTTTCATCTTGTCTAGACAGGTCTGGTGAAAAGAGATGGGGATAAGATTCTTATGATTCCATAGTGAGAAATTGTTATCATGACTAACTGCGAGTGTCACAACTATAAAGGAGTAGTTAACCTTACAGTACAGAAACAGAGGATCCTAGGACCGTCAAGCGAGAAGAGCACAAGCAGAGTGCTGGACCCTATCCAGAGAAGCAGCGACACCAGAGAGGGAGGCAGAGATGGGGACATGGAGAGAGGGCACAG